CCGGGGTTGGGCCCCACCTCCCTGAACCATGTCTCTGGGACGATCTGCTACTGGCTGACCCCTACCTCTGTCGGTCCGAACTCCACCTCTACGGTCTCTACCTCCACCTCTATGATCCCTACCCCCGCCTCTAGCTGGCTGGGCAAGCTGTGTATCACCTGGTGCCTGAATCATAGGACGAGGACCCTGCTGCTAAGAACTACCAGAGGCTCGAGGGCAAAATCTGACAATGTGACTCGGGTCACCACAACCATAACAAGCTCTCGGCTGCTGAGACTGCTGGCCCTGTCGACCTGAATATCCTCCCCGAAAACTCTGAAGTGGCGGTGCACTGATGGGCTGCTGATCAGAATAATGCTGCTGAGAACCACCACCGCCTGGAGTACCATGTGAGACCTGTAGGGCTGACTGAAAGGGCCTCGGAGAATGGCCTCTACCATAAGAATCCCTACCTCCAGACGAGGTACCACTGAACCTACCAGAATGACGAGGCCTCTTATCCGACACATGACCACCTCCCCGTGCAAGGGCCATCTCAACTCTGCGGGCCAAATTGGACGCCTCCTGAAAAGAAATCTCACTACCAGCTCCCATAGACATCTGGAGACGGATCGGCTGGATCAATCCATCAATAAACCTCCGCACCCTCTCTCGCTCTGTGGGGAGTATAACAATAGCATGGCGTGCCAAATCAATGAACCGAGTCTCATATTGAGTGACTGTCATAGAGCCCTGCTGGAGGCGCTCGAACTGCCTGCGAAGAGCCTCTCGCTGAGTAACTAGGAGAAACTTCTCCAAAAACAACTCTGCAAACTGGTCCCAAGTCAATGATGGTGACCCTGCTGGTCTGGATAAACAATAGTCTCTCCACCAAGTTTTGGCAGATCCTGCTAGACGAAAAGTGGCGAAGTCGACCCCATTGGTCTCCACAATACCCATAGTCCGAAGAACCTCATGGCAGCTATACAAGAAATCCTGGGGGTCCTCTGAAGAAGCACCGCTGAATGTGGTGGTGAAGAGCTTGGTGAACCTATCCAGTCTCCACAAAGCATCTACGGACATAGCCGCTCCATCGTCGGTCTGAGTCACAATACCCGGCTGAACTGCCACAGCTGGCTGAACCGCTGGAACCTGAGCCTGGGGAGCTACCTGCTCCGGGGTACGTGTAGCAGGAGTCTGAACTCCTCCTCCAGCCTGAAAAGTGGCTGGTGCTACTGGAAGCAAACCCGCACTAGTGACGCTCTCCACAAAGCCTACCAATCTGACCAGAGCGTCCTGAAGAACTAGGGTGGCTATGAACCCCTCTAGGACCTGAGCTGGGCCCACCGGAGCTGCTGGGGCTGGAACCTCCTCGTCATAATCAACATGAGGCTCCACCTCTGGGACTGCTGCCCGGGGCTGAGCTCTGCCCCTGCCTCGGCCTCTGCCCCTCGCAGGAGCTGCTACTAGGGGCTCGGGCTGCTGCGCGGTAGAAGAGGAAGCATGTGTTCTCGCCATCTGCGAAAGAACACATTAGAAGGACAATCAGTATTTGAGAAACAAAATCGCACGACAGGAAAGAGCAAAAGTGAAACTTTTCCTAACTCCGTAGCCTCTGGGGATAAATACAGACGTCTCCGTACCGATCCCTCAGACTCTACCAAGTTTGTCCGTGAGTAGCGAGACCTATGTAACCTAGGGCTCTGATACCAACTTGTCACGACCCAGATTTATTTCCCACCATCGGGAGTCGTGATGGCGCCTACTAACGGATCTAGGCAAGCCAAACATCTAAACATTTTCAGATAACAACACAACAATAATAAAACAACGAGTCTTTAAATAAAAGCGGAAGTCTTTAGAATATAGATAACTGAAAACCCAAAAAAAATGTGGAAGTTTAACATTTCTCTACCCAAGACTGGTGTCGCTATCTCACGAACTACTAGAGAGTGCTACAAACAAGTCTGATTAGAATTACATAAGTGTCTGTCTCGGTACAATGAAAACAAACTGAAAACATAGAAAGGGACTCCGGCCTGCGAACGCCAGCTAGGCTACCTCGTAAGTCCCTGGACTGAAGTCAGCTCCCGATCAATATCCTACTGCTGTGGTCCAAAAACTGCTCCGGTACCGTGATCTGTGCAAAAGAGCACAGAAGTGTAGCACCAGCACAACCGACCCCATGTGCTGGTAAGTGCCTGGCCTAACCCCGGCGAAGTAGTGACGAGGCTAGACAGGACTACCAATCAACAATTCAATATGCAGTTCAATGTATATATATATATATATATATGCAATGCAAGGAAAGAATACAGAAGTTAAACAGTTAAGAGGGAGGGGAGCATACTATGGGGGAGTACAGTCCGGATATAAAATCAACAATTTAAGTAAGAAACAGGGCAATAACAATAATTAATGAGAGCAGGAAAATCAACAGTTGCACGGCATCAGCCTTCGTGCTTTTACTCTCATTCTCACCAAAAACAATCAATAAAGTACACGGCATCACCCTTCGTGCTTTCCCTCACATAACTGACATATCATGGCACGGAATGTTCCTTCGTGCAATTATAATCAAATCAGAGCACGGAATGTCCCTTCGTGAATAAATAATCAAAGCATGGCACGGCATGACCCCTCGTGCAAATATAATCAAAACATGGCACGGAATGACCCTTCGTGCATTATCACTCTTCCTCACCCAAACAGTAATCACAACCAAACGGGGCGAGGGGATAAACAATTAATAAGAAATGTCCCGGCAAGGGAAAACACATTTAAACAGCTAAATCCCGGCAAGGGAGTAACAACAACAACCTTCACATCCCAGCAAGGGAGATAATCAATATACTAAAACTATCCCGGCAAGGGATTTAATCATATCTCTTTCCATTTCTTTCATTTCTTACTCAATAGTATTTTTATTGTTCGAGCCAACGCTCCAAGAATTCACAATTCATAACCAATCCTCAAACTCTTCACATTATATAGAATTCATCAATTAGCATAGAAGAGTCCCAAAAATATCAGAATAAGTACAAACAAGGACCCACGGTCATGCTGGACACCGGTGTATAGATACTCGTCACCATGCCTATACACCGTACTCGATCATTTAGCAATTAGCAATTAATAACACTCTAATCCTATTCCCTCAAGCCAAAGTTAGATCAAACACTTACCTCGAATGCTCCAAACTCAACTCAATCCTCTAGTATAGCTTTACCCCTCGAATTCACCACCAAACCGCTCGAATCTAATCACAAATTACTTGAATGTATCAACAACTGCTAATCGAATCAATTTGAATGCATGAAAAATGAATTTCCCAAAGTTTTACTCAAAAATTCCCAAAATGCCCCGGGGCCCACGTGGTCAAAACCCGAGGTTCGAACCAAAACCCGATTACCCATTCCCCCATGAACTCAGATATGTGAGTTATTTTGGAATCGGACCTCAAATTGAGGTCCAAAACCCCCAAATTTAGGAACCCTAGTTCTACCCTAAATTCCCAAATTCCCCCATTAAAATCTTTGTTTTGAAGTTGAAATTATGTTTAAGGATGTTAAGGAGTATAGAAAAATCAGTTAGAAATCACTTACCAATCGTTTTGAAGAAGTAGGATCATTTGGAAAATCGCCTCTTATGTTTTGGGTTTTGAAAAAGTGAAAAATGACTGAAAATCCCGACTTTATATACTGAACTGGAGACCCGGCGCGAACCGCACAAAATGCCCCACGGCCGCGCCGAGGAAGGGAGGGAAAACGACTCTCTGAACCTACCCAGCGCGGACCGTACTGATTTTGGTGCGCGGCCGAGCTGGAGGAATGGACCAAATTCCCACTCTCTGAATCTCCTAGCGCGGATCGCGCTGATATGGCACGCGGCCGCGCTGGGCGACCTAGGACCACTGGCCCTCTGAACCTAGCCACGCGGACCGTGCAGAAATGCATCGCGGCCGCGCGGCTTCCAGCGCGGACCGCGCGGAAATGACCGCGGCCGCGCTGGGGGCCTGCAACACCTGGACCTGCAAATTTCTGATACTTTTAAGTCTAAGACCCTCCCGGGACCCACTCAAAACTCACCCGAGCCCTCGGAGCTCCAAACCAAACATGCACATAACTCCAAAAACATCCTACGGACTCATCCGTGCGATCAAATCGCCAAAATAACATCGAATTAGGCCTCAAGACCCATGATTTCCTTCCAATTTCCATGAAACATCAAATTTTACTGCTTCTAGCTCAAAACACGTCAAATGACGTCCAAATCTAACCAAACTTCACAGCAATTGCTTAACTCATATTTAAGACTTGTGCCGGGCGTCAGAACCAAAATACGTGCCCGATACCACAGTGTTCTAAACGAATATCACTTTCCAATTTCTTTAATTATTTTCAGAAAATAATTTCACGTAAAAATTCATTCATCGGACTCGGGACCTCGGAATTTGTTTCCGGGCACACCCCCAAGTCTCATATTATCCTACGGACCCTTCGGGATTGTTGAATCACGAGTCCGGGTCCGTTTGCCCTAAACGTTGACCGAAGTCAAACTTAATCAATTAAAACATCAAAATTTTATTATCTTTCTCACAAATTCATATTTAAACGTTCCGGCTACGCGCCCGGACTGCGCACACAAATTCGAGGCAACCCCCAAGTGAGGTTTTTACTGCCTCAGAAATACAGAGTGAGTAGGAATACAGGTGATGACCCTTTGGGTCGTCACATTGTGTTGCAGTGGGACTTACTGGTTCCAATTTACTTGTTTTAGGAGTATTGACTCACATTGCATGTTTTTTTTGTTAGAATTGATAGATTAGTTTTGCCAAACATTTGAATAATGTTGTGACACTATATTTACAAATATTAATTTATTTTGTTAATCATGAATTCCATGATATTCTTACAAAACGTATATTTTTAGTTTTTGCAAGTATCTAAACTAAATATTATTATTTTAAAAAATATATATAAGACAAAAAGAATTGACCCTTGCACTTGGAGACTGGAGTATCTTCATTCTTTTCTATCAAAACTGAAATTATAGAAATTACTACTACTATGTCTATTACTATACTTGGGCCGCTTGCCTCCTAGGCTCTGCTTCTCTTTGGCTTCTGCATCGGACCTGTCGAAGTCCTCTATCAGTAACAATCATCAATTCAGTAAGAAATATTTCTTCACTTCTCCTTCTTATTGTGAAGTTTTCTCATGGCTGTAGCTTAAAATATATGTGTATGTACAGGCTTACTGGCTTAGGCAGAGAGCAAAGAAAGATGTCTAATTGGTCTGGGGGGGAAAAAGAGAAATGATATCATGGGTATGAAGTAAAAGTAAAAATCTTAGCTTACAAAATTTAGTCTTTGATGAAAGTGCATTTGGATCCTGATTGATACATGCATGTTAGATGTTCGACAATATGTTTGTCTCAGAATGGTTTTGGCCTTTCTACTGTAGAAAGTTTTATCTATTTTTAGGATGATTTTGTGATGCCTCTGAACTGGGATGAGAAACATAACAGAAATGGAGTTTCGGGATTTCTTCCTTATTTTTGTGTGAGCTTGCTCACATTGCCGGTCCCAAGCCCGGATAAATGAGGAGGGTTGCGGTAGACTGGTAGCCTACATAAAACTAGCCAAATATTGGCCTGAGATGAGTTTATATGGAGTAACATGGTCAGTGGGCGCCAACTTATTTAGGATTGAGGCATACTTGTTGTTTGAGTTTTTTTATTCTTGAGGTTAATGAGGCTTTCAGCATTTTTCGGTTACTCAAAACTCATGGATAACCAACAGTATAGCTATTTGTATGTGGATATTTCAAATTCTATTTAGCCACTCTTATGCTATATCCAAATTGAACTCTATGCTTGTGCTTTAATCTTTTTCTGTTTCTAGGGTGGCCATATCTCCAATTGATGTTTGAGTACTGGAAACATTACATGCTTTTCAGGATGCTATAGCTCAATTCATAACACATTTGAATGATGGACATGTCAGTCCTTAGTAAGATTAAGAAAAGTAAGAGTTTGTTGAACCACAATCATACCAAGTGAAAACAAAAGGTTGACAATTGAGGTTACTCTAGTATAGCTAATCACTACTAGATTAGGATTGAGGCATAGTAAAGTGGCTCTCATATCACCTTCAAAAGGTTGACGGAGAAGGTAATACTCCTAACTTTTTGTGTATCGATGTCCTTATCGCCCTCTTTTCTAAAAGTAGGCTCCTAACTTTTTGTGCATCGATATCCTTGCCACCCTCTTTCTAAAAGGTAGCAAAATTTGAGGGATTCATTTATCAACTCAACTCATACAAGCTAGACAAAGAAAAACAATGAGGAGGTAAGTGTAACTTTTGGATTAACTAAAGGAACAACTGAGTGAAAGAACTGGAGGAAGCGATAATTATAATTAGCTCTTGCTTTTCCCATTTCCTTGTACACATCCGTCATTTCTGCTTTCCTAAGTTTGTACTGGTCCACGTTGAAGCCTCTGCTTTACAATTCCATAAGAACCTATTTCATCACTCCTCCACTTTTGCAGGAACTCACTTATCTCTGTATCATATATGAATGTAAAAGATATGCAGATGCATACATGAATGTTTTTAACAAGAGAAATTGGTGAAGTCCGGTCTTGTCATCTTGGAAAAGTTTTGGCTTTGATGAATTTACAGAGCAAAAATCAAATTCCCTATACGGAAAGTGTTTCAGAGAGGAAGATTGTGCTCCTCTTCTGTAGGAAGATTTACCTTGCGTTTGGGAAACTTATCTCTTCAATGATACTTTGAGCTGGGGCTTTTTTGAGCAAGTCCTTCTCCTAGACGAGCTAAAGTAGCAAGCCAGTAACCAAATTACTGGTGCTTCAGAGAAATCAAATTTTGGATAGGCTATCAGTAAGTCAAGAAATAAGAGTTTGTTGTCTCAAGAAAGATGAGACTGCTTTCACATCACTTTAGCTCCAAGGATCTATTGTATATGGTCATGTGCTCTTCTACTTGGCTGTCAAAGGCCCAGCCACTGTCTGCCTTGTGCAATTTTAAATGCCATTATCGTGAACAACAGCCAGAGCAAGGTAGAAAACAAAATCAAGCAGGTGAAGAAAAAAAACAGAACAAGAAACAGGGACCTTCTATTGGCTCTCCAGCTCGTATCCAGAAGCTTATTGCTTCCCAATCAGATCCACTCCTTGCTAAAGAAATATTTGATTTAGCCTCTCGAGAACCCAATTTTCAGCACTCATATGCCACTTTCCACACTCTCATCCTCAAGCTTGGCCGTTCCCACCAGTTCTCTCTCATGCAGTCCGTCCTCTCTCTCCTTAAGTCACAGCAATATTCCGTCTCCCCATCTCTTTTTTCACACATCATCCAAATCTATGGTGATGCTGGCTTACCTGACAAAGCCCTTAAAACTTTCTATACTATCCTGGAATTCAATATGAAGCCCCTTCCTAAACATCTCAACCTCATTCTTGAAATACTCGTTTCTCACCGAAACTTTCTTCGCCCTGCATTTGATCTCTTCAAATCTGCACATAAATATGGAGTTTTGGCCAACACCACGTCTTACAACATTCTAATGCGGGCGTTCTGTTTGAATGATGATTTAAGTATTGCCTACTCGCTGTTTAATCAAATGTTCAAGAGGGACATTGCTCCTGATGTAGAGTCATATAGGATTCTGATGCAGGGTTTGTGCCGAAAAAGTCAGGTGAATAAAGCTGTTGACTTGCTGGAGGACATGCTGAATAAAGGGTTTGTTCCTGATGCTTTAAGTTACAGCACTCTATTGAATAGCTTGTGTCGGAAGAAGAAACTTAAGGAAGCTTACAAGATTCTTTGCAGAATGAAAGTAAAGGGTTGCAATCCAGATATTGTACATTACAATACAGTTATTCTGGGGTTCTGTCGAGAAGGTCGCGCTGCTGATGCCTGCAAGGTCCTTGAGGACATGCCATCAAATGGGTGTCTTCCCAATTTGGTCTCTTATCGGACATTAGTGGGGGGGCTAAGCGATCAGGGAATGTATGATGAGGCTAAGGATTACATGGTGGAAATGATGTCAAAAGGCTTCTCTCCACATTTTTCTGTGGTTCATGCGGTGGCGAAAGGTTTCTGTAATGTAGGTAAACTTGAGGAAGCTTGTGGAGTAGTGAGGGATATTTTGAGCCACGGCGAAGCCTTACATACATCTACATGGGGAGAAATTGTATCCCGGATCTCTGAATGGGATGGTGCTGAAATTGGGAATATCTTGGAGGAAATTATTAGAGCTGAGATAAAACCTGAAACAAGAATAGTGGAGGTTGGTTCTAGATTGGGTGAATACTTGATGAACAGAATAAAAAGTAAATCAAGAAAGGGGTGATCATTTCACAGGACAAGTATTGCTCCTGCTCAAACCTGATATATACATGTAAAGGATGTTTACCTTGGAAGATAGCAAATGCACATGAAACCTGGTAGTGTTTATACAACTGCCCAAAGGAATCGGGTTAATTTAGAATTATCTTGCTAACTTTTCTGGTCAGTTAATTGACATAATGATTTTACTAGCACTGTGCATGTTTGGCTTAAAGTGACATACTTCATTCATGGCCCATGGTTTCTCTATCCAATTCGTGAGGAAGCTGTTGATTTTTTAAGCACTGGTATAAGGAAACCTTTGAACCGATTGTAAGTTCATTGTTAGAGATACAGAGAATGAGATGCACCTGGGGAGATCGTTGTGATTTGCATAGACATAAACATCTGGAAAGTCCGCGACCGATATTATATTTGTTGCTCTTTTAGTGCTTGTAATCACCTTTTAGCCGTTTCTAGTGTCGGAACTAGGAATTTGTATAATAAGTTAAGATTTGAACGTGTGACCTAAAACAATTTAGAAACCCCTTTATCATTGTACTAAATCTCCCTTTACATCAAGGGGAATCAATAGTTTATACATTATGCATATATTATCAAGGAAAAAATATTTTTGCCTTATTTACACTACAATTTTTTTTACTACAGTGGACTTAATTTAATTGAACCTTCCCTCCACCTAGACCCGCCACTGGTTGTTTCTCTAGTTCGTTAAGAAGGTCCCTTGGGATGGTCAAAATTCCAGTGTTGTTGCAGGAGGCTATAAAAACTTTTAGTTAGTTGAACATCTTATGATAATAATAAGATAGAACTTGCCGTCTAAAGGAAAAGATATTCAAAAGGTTTGACATTTTTCTATTTTTATAATCCTTTAGAAAACTATTCAACCACTATTTCAATATTTTCTTCTGATTTCATTAACACAATACAATAATTAAATTTATACGTCAAATTTTGTACTCAATCAAATACCAACCTATAATATACACTTTTCCAATATAAAGTGCTGAAAGTGGTATTGCATCAGGGACCAGCTCTCAGCCTGTTTTTCTATGCCTTGGTTATGGATGAATTGACGCGACATGTTCAAGGGGTGGTACCTTGGTGCATGTAATTTGCGATGACATAGTATTGATTGACGAGGCGCGATGCAGTGTCACTAGTAGGCTGGAGGTTTGGAGATAGAACCTTAAGTCTAAAGGTTTCAGGTTGAGCATGACTAAAACATAATACTTGGATTGCAAGTTTAGTGACGTAACTTATGAGGCTGACGTGGAAGTGAGGCTTGATACACAATCATCCCAAAGAGATCATCTAAGATAGTGGGGAGATGAGCAATGATATCACACATCGTATTGGAGCGGGATGGATGAAATGGAGGCTCGCATCCAGCGGAAATGAGGATGTTGAGATGGATGTGCGAGCATATTAGGAGAAATAAGATTAGGAATGAAAATATTCGGGATAAGGTGGGAACGACCTCCAAGATGGAAAAAATGCGAGAAGCTAGTTGAGATGGTTCGGTCATGTGAAGAGGAGATGCACCTATGCTTTAGTGAGGACGTGTGAGAGGTTTGACAATGATGGGTCTAAGGAGGGGTAGAGGTAGGCCGAAGAAGGATTGAGAAGAGATGATTAGGCATTACATGACAAATCATCAACTTACGCGGACAAGACCCTTGATAAGAGGGTGTGGAGGTCGAACATTAGGGTAAAATGTTAGTAGATAGTCGAGTGTATTTCTTTTCCACACCAGTAATATTAGTATTATTCTCGTATTTTCTTATTCTTATATTTCTATTACTACCTATTGATTCTTTTGTTTCGACCAGCTTATTATCTTGATGTTATTACATGGCTTCCCCACCGCTATATATTTTTTCAATACTATTGTGATTACGCTTTCCTTGAGCCGATGGTCCCTCGGAAACAATCTCCTTACCTTTACAAGGTAGGGGTAAGATCTAGAGGCAAATCTAGGATTTAAATTTAATGGCTTTAATATTAAGATTATGAACATTGAATTTATTTTACCATTAAAATTATGTTTCAGATTTAATATTTGTTGAGATTTCAGAAGATTTTATATATAAATTTATATTTCATGTCAAAAGTTTTAGGTTCAGTTGAAATCGTAGCCTAAAGGCTATATCTGCCTTTTGGTAAGATCTACGCACACACTATCCTTTTAAATTCCATTTTTGAAATTACACTCAGTATATTGTTAGTGTTATGGTGTGTCCATTTCCGAGAACCAGTTTGGTTTCATGCCGGGACGGTCGACTACTGAGGCCATTCACAGTGTGAGGAGATTGGTGGAGCAGTATAGGGCGGTGAAGAAGGATTTGCATATGGTGTTCATTGAGCTAGAAAAAGCTTATGAAAAAGTCCCGAGACAGGTTCTATGGAGATGTTTGGAGGCTAGAGGAGTGTTTGTAGCATATATTAGAGTGATTCAGGACATGTATGATGGAGCTAAGACACGGGTTAGGACAACAAGAGGAGACTCTGACTATTTTCCGGTTGAGATGGGGTTGCATGAGGGATCAACACTTAGCCCGTTTTTGTTTTCCCTGGCGATGGATTCATTGACGCGACACATTCAATGGGAGGTACCTTGGTGCTTCTTATTTGCGGATGACATAGTCCTGATTGATGAGACGCAAGGTAACGTTAACGAGAGGCTGGAGGTCTAGAGACATACTCTGGAGTCTAAGGGTTTCAAGTTGAGCAGGACCAAGACAGAATACTTGAAGTACAAGTTCAGCAGTTCTACTCAGGAGACAGACGGGGATGTGAGGCTCGATACGCAAGTCATTCCCAGGAGAGAGAGTTTGAAATATCTGGGGTCTATAATGCAGAAGGATGGGGAGATAGATGAGGATGTCACACACCGTATTGGAGTAGGGTGGATGAAGTGGAGGCTCGCTTCCAGTGTCTTGTGTGATAAGAATGTGCCATTGAGACTTAAGGGTAAGTTCTACAAGGTAGTGGTTAGACCGACTATGTTGTATGGGGCAGAGTGTTGGCCAGTTAAAAACTCCCATGTCCAGCAGATGAAAGTAGCGGAAATGAGGATGTTGAGATGGATGTGTGGGCATACTAGTTTGGATAGAATTAGGAATAAAGTTATTCGGGACAAGGTGGGAATGGCCCCTGTGGAGGCAAAGATGCTTGAGGCAAGGTTGAGATGGTTCGGGCATGTTAAGAGGAGAAGCATAGATGCCTCAGTCAGGAGATGTGAAAAGTTGGCCTTGGGAGGTGAGAGGAGGGGTAGAGGTAGGCCAAAGAAGTCCTGGGGAGAGGTGATCAGGCGGGACATGGCGCAGCTTGAGCTACGACATGACCCTAGATAGAAGGGTGTGGAGGTCGAAGATTAGGGTAGAAGGTTAGTAAGTAGTCGTGCGTTTCCCTTTGTCTTCTCTAGTTCGATAGTATTAGTGCTCGTACGATACCCTTTGTTTCCTTAGTTTGCTATATTCGCATGTCTTGTTCCGTTATTACTTGCCATCGGTAATTCCGTATTTTGCTAGTAGTACTTCGTTCATATTCTCGTTTGTTGCCTTGGATTTAGTTTTCTAAATATATTGTCTTGCTATTACTTGTTATCGGTACCTCTTTCGTATTCTCCGTTGCTATCTTCGATGTAGTTTTCTAATTATTTGTCTTGCTATTACTTGCTATCAGGGTCTCTTTCACCTTCTTTAGACGATAGTCTATCAGAAATAGTCTCTCTGCCCTTCGAGGGTAGGGGTAAGGTTGCATACATCCTATCCTCCCCAGACTCCACTTGTGAGATTATACTGGATTGTTGTTGTTGTCGTTGATGTATGGTATATAAATTGCTGGAAATCAAAAGTGAAATGGAAGTGGGCTTGGCTAAGGCATGTAATTTGTGTCCTAATTAAACCCAATCGTTGACTGACCATGTCAAGTTGTCAACCAGGGCTGGCCCGACGAATTTTGTGGCCTAAAGCCAAACTTTATGAGGGGCCTTAACTTTTTAATTTTTTTTTTATAATTTATTTGAAGTCTACTTTTTTTAGCTTTTCTTAGATACAAAGTTATTAATAGTTTTCTTATAATCAATAACTTCTAATAAGTATTTATCAATTGACAATATAGGTAATTCATTTAACCTTTCTTGTGACATTGTTGTTCTTAGGTAAGATCTTATCAATTTTAATTTTGAAAACTTCTTTCTGATGAAACAACGGTAACATGAGTTATGAACATTATTCCATAAACAATTTAGGCATTTGGAAAAAAAAAATTAAATCTTTTTATTTGATTAAGTATATCAATTAAACCGTTATCTTCTAATTGTACTATTTTTCTTAATACTTCGAATTCAAAAAATAAATCTAAATCATCAATATCGAATTAATTGTTATGCTTTTAGGAATATTCAAGATTAAGGCAATATTTTTTCAAATTTCCAACATCTAATGATCTTAGTTTTTATTGCCAAATAGAAAACCAAAAATATTTTCATATGCTTCGAATTGTTCAAATCTATTTTGAAGTAAAAAATTAGCCTTGTCTATTATGTATAAAAGTAATCAACTCTAAAGGACTCTTCAAAAGATTTTGAGATTTCATTATCAATATTCGCATCAAATTGTTACTTCCTATATATCACACATTTCTTACGAAATTCAGGTTCGATATTCATTTCAAGTGCAATTTGCTTGGTAGAAATCATAGCAGTTACAAATCCTTATTCTCTATATTTGTTAAAGAAAGAAATCAAACTTTTTTACTTTATAGAATTCTTTTTTAAACTTATATATAGTCTATTAGGTGTAACAAAAAATAGAGCCCCACAAATTTGGACCTAAAGCCATTGCTTTAGTTGTTTTACGGAATGGCCGCCCCTGTTGTCAACACCGCTACATATGCACACGGCACACGCTTAGAGGGTGTTTGGATTGGCTTATTTTAAGTGCTTATCGGCTTTTAAGCACTTTTTTTAGTTTGTGTGGTGTTTGACAATGATAAAAAGTGCTTAAAAGCACTTACTTATAGCCTTAAAAAGTACAAAAATAAGTCAAAAGCCAAAAGTTGGGTATTGCCAACTTATGGCTTTTGGCTTTTAGCTTAGGGAAAAAGGCCAAAATTGTACCTCTACCATTAAAAATATCCACGTTAATATCCCGTTCTACTTTCCGGCTAAAATAATACATGTCGTTACTAAAGTAGGAGAATTTGTACCTAAATCTAACGGACCTCCTACGTGGCAACCGGGACCCCCATAATAATGTGCCAACTAGGCTTTTTTTACCCGCCCCACTTTATAATAGCCCGCCCCGCCCCACTATATAATAACTCCCCCTCATAACAATTTCAGTCGAATAAAAATAGGGTTTAGGCACAAATTCCCCAAATTCTCTTTCTTCTCCTTTGCTCGACTCTATCCTCTCTCATCTTCATCAATGTCGCAGAGCAGTACTTCTTCTCAGAGAAGGTGTCGATGTGGTATTATTGCCAACCATTTCACATCAACCACTCCCTCTAACCCCGGTAGGAAATTTTACAAATGTGCACGCCCTAAGGTAAGGTGTCGATGTGGATTTGTCTAATCTTTATAATCTTTCTAGCTGTTTTGA